TGATGTTTGGGTGGTTGACCGGGACAGATTTTCTCCTGTCACTTTCTCGTCATCCCTGACGTGCTCTCCGTTGTTTTTTCCCCTGCAAATTTTAGCATCACGCGGCACAGCTTCTGTATCACGTGGTATAAGGCTCCGCCCTTGTCATTTGTTGAGCAGGAAGAGTGAGCGCTTGTTTTCATGCAGATTACTTCCCGGATCAAAATGCGGTACAATCGTCGTCGTTGTCTTTTTCTTTTCTTTTCTTTTTTAAATCGTTGTCATTTGGAAATGAGATCGCACATAAGTGTGAATCGAGATTGCGATTTTCTAACGATTAATTGTGCAGCCCTAGTAGAGAGTGATATACAGAAGACTGCGTGTGTCCAGAGTCTGTGGGCTTTTAAGGAATCCATGGAGACTTACCAGTGTCCCTATAAAGTGAGGCCCTATGTATGCATTACCTCCCACCATACCATCAGTACTGGAGCTTTAACCTTTTGATAGCTGCCAGGATTTTTATTTTATTTTATTTTTACTGAGTTGTAGAACGAAAATGCTATAGTCACTAAGGCTGTCTAAGAAATGCGCCATAAGCAGCAGCTTATTTTCAACCATGGAGCCGGCTGTTAAATTTTTCATGACCCGAGTCTTTATTGAGTAGAAACTGATCTCATTCTGCCGCTGTCAATGTCACTTCAGTCCGCTTTATTTTTGGTTAAAGCGGCGATGATTTCAAAGCTCTGTCTTAATGTACCGATATCTTTTGTTTTCCGAGCAGAACAGCTTAAACGTCGAATAGGTTTTTGGATGATCAGTAATCAGTGAAGCACTCGTACTCTATCCGAGACAGAAGTACTTTATGACCAATAACAGTGGTGCACCTTCACCTCTGGTATTTCTTTTAGATGGCTCATTGTGGAGGGAAAAAAAGCTTTTAAGGCATGATTACACATAAGGCTATTATCCTGGGTGTGCATGTTTGACTGATAGCCAAGTAGAGCATACTAATAATTACAACTTGGACATCATTATTTTCCCTCTTGAAGCCAGAGTGCAGCTTTTGGAGGAGTTGGTGCGTATTTCTATGAAAGGTAGCCGCAGGTGCGTTTTGTCACCCCATGCCAACTCACATTTGTATGTGTTTAATCAAGCACATGTGCCTGGAGAGTATTTTCCACATCAGTAGCGCTAGGTGAATAGCCAGAGAGCTGGTCTTGATTGTAGTGCTGCTGCTATCATCATGCTGACTTTCTGCATGTAGTGGCTGAAGTGGCGCTTAAGGCTTATCATAAATACTGTTCAGTCCTTTTTTTTGTCTTTTTTTTTATGACAGAATCTTGGGAAAGAGCCGCTCTCATTAGGTGCATGATGTTGTTATGAGTTGACGAGAGGATGTTTCACATCCCAAAGGCATAGGAATTCCACTTCTTTGAGTTTAGTCATCTTGACTGGTTGATCTTCTGAGCGGGGGAAACAACACAAGATCATTCAGCACTGGCAGAAGCAATGAAAATAAAATAAATAAAAGTAGTCAGTGTTTTTTCTCCAGACAGCTGTAGGCCAAATAGCAATCTAATCCGAGGAATGGAGTTTTCTTTTCATAGTTGTGGTTCAGTGCAGGGCGGCAGGGCATTATCGGTGGAAACAACAAACTCTCCTCTGTTTGTGTTGGAATGTGAGCATGACAAATGTAATTCAGGCCTCAGTAGTGTGTTGTTAGCCCTGTCTGGTTAGGTTGTGCATATTTGGCTAGCGCAGCTGTTGAGATAACCCAAACTGCCCTTTCTGAGTCCCCTAGTATGACTTCTCCTTTTAAAAAAAAGAAAAAAGAAAGGAAATGGGTTAGTGCGTAGAGAACAAAAGGAGACCTGTAATAGTATGAAAGAGGAGGCTGAACACTGGTCTGAAGACTGTAGTGGTACAGCTTTGTGGCACAGCCGTGACTGACAAGAGAGTTGGTGAGACAGTGGAAATGGCTGCTGCGTCATGTAAACCCATAGTTGGCTAGGGCCGCTGGTGCTCAGGCCAGACTGCTACAGACTTATGAGGTGTTTATCGGAGAGGTAGAGAGGCTGGAGGGCGCTGGACTCTGCCCCCGAATCCCATCTGTCAGAATCCCAGAGAGTGTGGAGACGAGGCCGCCTGTTCTGGTTTGACTAGAAAAGCTTACCAGCATTTCACATAAAAGATGCAAATTTGCTAAGCTGCAAGCTTCAGTTATTTTTGTAAAGTTTCCAGGAGAGTGATTATTTCTGATGATTATTTGAAATATCACCTTCTGTTGTTACATATTAGCATAATATTTATATACGGTATACAAGGGATGGCAGACTCGCTTTAGCTAATAGGCCACATATGGCTAAAATGAGCTGCAAGAGTGAAATGATTGTATAATAACCTGTCTTTCTTTTCAAGTAAAGATATAAACATTCAGAATTAGAATAATTAGAATAAGTGCGGTTTCAACAACACGTCTTATTAGGACCGATTTATCGGCAGACCGATATTATCAGCTTTATTATTTAGCTATTTGTTGATCGTTCTGCATTTATAGCGGTTGGTAAATCTTTTTTTTTTTAAAGAGACTGAAGAAACACTCTACGATGTTACAAGTACTGATGTTGCATAGCTTGTCCACTAGAGGGCAGCCTGCAGATTTCCTGTAGGCAGCACATGGGGTTTGAACGCCACAGACACAACAATCAAGAGTATAAACGAGGAAATCTGTTTAATGTTTTGTGTTTCTGAAAGGAAAAATAAATAAATATAATCCACTTGGAATATCACATTTTTAAATCTCCAAATATCGGTATTGGATTTAAAAAAAAAAAAAAAAAAATCATATCTGTCAGGCTGAAATCAAGAAATAATTTGTAATGCGAGCCTGTGTAGTAAAGTTAAGATATTAAAGCTATGACTGTAAATTTTACACTACAAGTGGACCAGATTAGACCCTGGGGCAGGCCCACACTGGCCTGCGGGCTGCATGTTTGACACCGCTCACATATACTGTTTCTACCCCCTCATGGTAGATTGGGTTAGAGAATTCTGGAGGGATTTTGGGGGCCATATATCCAACCATTTGTATACTGAAGTGAAAATAATCTTTTCAGTGTTTAACTCAGTTTGAGTGGTTTGAAGACAATGTTAGGCAGGCATGAGATGCTTTGGAAATGTGCAGAGGAGGATAGTGGATATTTTGGACAAAAGATGTGGAAGATGGAGCTCCCAGGCACAAGAAAAATACGTAGTAGATGTAGTGAATGAGGACGTGCAGAGGGTTAGTGTGGGATGGGGGCAGATGATCCGCTGTGACGACCCCTAAAGGCTGCAGCCGAAAGAAGAAGAAGGAGGATTTTAACTCTACGGCACAAACTAATTAACACCATGTCCTGAAGACAGCTCTACAGGCAATTCTAATGCAGGCCTACATCTAATAGCAATAAAAACCCATTAAAGTGCAGGCAGTTACATGTTTGACCACTAATTACTGATAGTTAGAGCAGTATGAGTGTTTTCTGTGTTTATAATGTCTTCACTGTTCTGCCTAGTTTGTGTGATATGGTAGCAGGAAGTTGTCAGTCTGTCACTTGTTTTTGCTTAAACAAATCACACACGTTTCAAAGGCGAGATGCAGCCAACAGCACAAGGCGCCGTGCACCTGCAGAACGTTGAAGTAGCAGCTGCTTCTCCCAGAGCCGCTGTGCTCGCTTCTTCTGTGCACTCCATCAATGCGGAAGTCCTCTGAGTTTAGTTTTTCCCCCCATTTCCATGTCACTCCATGGAAGCAGGTCATTTTAGGCATTTCTGGGCTCGATAGGTTACAATAAGCTAAGGTTCTAATTAGGATTGAGATTTGTAAAGCTCACAAATTACCAAGCATCCTGACAGGATTAGGACTTTGGAGCATATCAGGCCTGAAAAAGTGGTTCGGTCATGACACAAGTATGTGCCATGGTGGACTGCATGCAGCTGGCGTTAGCAATTAGTTCCTCTTCACTGCTTCAAGTACAGCTAACCGCTGGTGTAGTTTTTAGCTGGAATGACAACCTGTGCACTCTTTGCTCTCCTCGTGGGAACAATGAACAACTGTTATGAACAGCCCCCACAAATTATGTGGTTTGAATCTCTTAAAGCGTAGAAAATGAAAATGTCGCAATAAAAGGAAAAAAAAAAAAAGGAGAGGTGTGCATCTCACCAAGTCTTACAAGTTATCATCTTGTCGTGTGAAATTGAACAGGTACAATTTGCAAGGGAAAATGGTTTTATATGGTAATGAGTAATGAGCAGAACCAACTTCCTGCTGTGAATAACTTCATTTGAAATTGATTGTTCTTGTTACTTTTTGAGCATCTCCATTCCATCTGGCGCTCATTCACTGATTTCATTCAGACAAGATAAGAGGTCTTCTTCTTTTTCAGTGTACTGCAGAAGTGCTACATGTGTTTGAGCTGCTTTCCTTGCTTTCAGGAGTAGCAGGAAGTGTGGCCCACTTTGGTTCTTATTCTAGAAAGATGTCTAAATATACCGCTGTTAGGCTGGGCTTTTTTCCTCCAGTCTAACTGAAACAACCTCAGTAAATTCATCTTCACACTGTATGAAGCACAAACATCATCTGCCCCCATCTATAGACAGAAGGTCTGCTTTCTCTGTGTACTCTACCCTCTGCAAATCTGTTCTTGGAGGAAGCTGGGGAGGGGGGTGTTGAACCATTGATGACACAAGATGGTGCTGTGTGTTTCGGATATCTTCTTCTTTGTAGTCATCAAAGCTGTAGTGAAGTGGCCTTTTTGTTTGCTCCCTCAGAGGCTTGTTTTCCAAAACCCAGAGCAGATGGTATGTGTATTCCATGGATGAATCACTGAGCCGGGTGGGTTTTTTTGCGTCGTTGCCCTGCCCTGGCTGTATGGCTGTATGTGTGCGTCCTCCTGCTTTAGCTTTGTGATTACACCTGTGTCATTAAGTTGTATTGTATTAAAAAGGGTTTGAACTCAGTGTCATTTTTTTTATTTCTTCAGACTCTGGAGGAGCCCCCCTACCTGACAGTAGGGACGGATGTGAGCGCCAAGTACCGAGGGGCTTTCTGCGAAGCCAAGATTAAGACTGCCAAGAGGCTAGTCAAGGCCAAGGTAAGTCATATTTCAAAGTGCTTATGATCCAACATTAATATTTAATTATCTGTCTGTGTTGTGTATGAAGTGGATAGCAGCCGGGCCGGGGGGGTGCTCTTGTCTTTGTGTGAAGCGGCTACAATCAAGATCACACAGCACTGCTTTATTGTGCATCCAGAGCTGTTGGTTTGGACACAGACACATTATCCAAAACGTTCCTTCAGAGCCCGGGTTAGCCTGGGATAATTGGATAAAGATCCTTCTATTAGATAATAGAGTCTGCCACAGTCAAACCAGGATTAGTTTCTTATTTCCAGTGTTGCCAGAAATCCAGCTGTGCTGCTCACACGCTGGAGGCCCGCCACCTGGTTTACGCCATCAGTCAGAGGCCGATCAGGAGCCCAGCTGCGGCAGATGCGAGATCACCCGGTACCCGTTGCATCCTCGAGCGCACCTCTCACCCGGAGCTTCCCTGCTTTGTCACGGCCTCGAGAGCGATTGCCGCCTCCCCATTGGTTTTCAGCCCTCCTGATGAAGGTTTTGCATGATACACGTAATACGGTATCTCATTTCCCAGTGGGGCTGGAGCATCTGGATAATACAATAGAGACAGATCGCTTGTCTCTCATTCTGCTGGAGTGTGTGGGAGGAACAAAGACTGGATGCTGGCTTTTTCACTGTGTCAGTGCACTGTAGTTCCCCCTGTAGAGACAAAAGAGCAGAGATGCTCTGCTATTCCAGCACACCAGCTGAACTCATCAAATAACGTCCTCTTTTTGTCTCATAGACGGGGGACAAACACCATGACAAAGTAGACCACGCAATGTTCTTAGTTTAAATGATGCCGGCTGAAATGAATCTAATAGGACAGTCTCAGCTCATAAATTAATTACCATACTAATTAGATGAGAGTAGGGTTTGTTGTTTTTTCCCGGGTAGCTGCGATGTGAATGTGGAGCTCGGTTACACAAATGTTGAAACATGGCAATTATTCCGTGGTCGTTGTGAGTCTGAATATTCCGCTGTAATGAATTTCTTCGTAGCTCTTTGGTTCATTAATCTCTGTCTGCTTGTTTATCAAAGTCGATGTTTGCAGCGTACAGCGCCGGTGTCTTTTGAGTGATTTTTAAGGCTTAGTGGAGGAAAAAAACAAACACGTGGTTAAGATTGAGCTGCGCTAGAGAACACGTAAGACACCGATTAACACCATGTTAGTATCAATCACTGCAGTTAGGACTAATGCTGAGTATTTATATATAAGTCTTTGTAGTATTTTTATATGCATGCAAACAAAAGAGTGTCTCAGATGAAGCAATTGTGAAATCTCGTTGTGAGGTTCTTCTGACTCATTTAAAGAGTAAATGGATGAAGCTGCACGTACTAACAGCTTCGAAGTACTCGTGGAGAACAGATGAACACCAGCTCCTTCTCTTAAACAAATTTCCCGGTTCTTTGAGCACTTGCAGACCACACTGAGAGAAAGCCCACTCCTCTTTAGGATGGTGCTGTTTCAGAAATGTCACGCTCAAACAAGTGCTGACTAACTCAGTCGTGTGAATGCCACTCATGATGTAACCTAACCTTCCTAAAACTGATTAAAATTCCACTTCTGTGCATTTGAGGTGCCTCACAAAGTCTGCAGTTTTATCCTTGTGGTTATGTCGCTTTAGCAAAAAAGGCACCAGAAAGCTTCACCATTGCTCTTTTATCTATTTATCCCCCCCGTTTTAAATGACACTATTTCTAGGCTTCAGATTAGGTTACTGTAGATTAAATATTTATGTGGGTTTTCCTTATTTAAACAGCCAGGTGTTTGACTTTTGGAGGTAAATATTGATGTCATTGTCCTGTTAATCTGTGCTCCTGCTGTGTGGCACGAAGCGATACTTCGAGGCAGTTGTAATGGAGGGAAAGTCGATTAAATAGATGCGAACATGTGAGGTGAAGAAAAGCAGATTTATAAAGGCACAAATGGTGAAGGTGTGTACTCCCGAAACATATCTTTTTCAGCATAAATAATAAATGTTGAAATAAACAACATGTAAAAATCAGAACAGTGGAGGGCTTTATTACTGTGCCACATCCTTTTAGCTGTTTATGGCCACAGAATCCACCTTTGCTTGAATAAAGCAGTCACTTCTCACAGCTCTCGTTTCCTGCTGGGAGAAAACGGAGCATGAAGGACTACTGGCTCCTCATAAATCTGTTCACAGCATAAAATTGCTGCGCCGAGGCTCTGTTGTATCAGAAATATGGTTTCATATCTTATTCCAATATTTGTTATCAAGCCTAAGTGGCTGTGCCGTGTGTGCGGCTCGCAGTTAGGAAGTCGTCAGAGCGCTCTGCCGTTATTGAAGCCGAGGCCTCGGACAGCGGGAGTCACCCTACCTAAAGTCTGAGGGGAGTCGAGCTTCTTGCCATCCCCAGAGAAGAAAGGGATTCCTTTATTCCCCCAGTCAGGAATGTTATTATCTCCATAACTGATGAAATGCTACCCGAGGAAGCTTTTTATTTCCCCCCCTATTTTATTACCTGACAATCTTACAGTATGCATTTCTTTCATTCATTGTCTTGATTGTGCATTCACAGCGAGACCTTGATTGCTGCTTCTGCTGTTGTTATATTTGAAACTGACTCGAGCATTGTCTGAATTTGTTACCCGCAGGCTTGTTTTCTGGGATGAGGTGCTTAACTTTTTTTTTTTTTAGCCCCCGTTCTCTCCTCTGTACAGCACCTTATTCTAAACTGAATCACAGTCAATAAAAGTGATGCCAGTTTTCCATTATAATTATGTTACAATTTTTTTTGTGCATATGCTCTCAACAAATTACTTTAATTTCCCTCCGGAAACAGAAGGAAGCACATGAGCATTTGGATGTACAAAGCAGGGAGGAGGTTTGCGGTAATAAACAGTAACGCTGTGCAATTCTGCAAATTTTGGTATTGATCCAATACCAAGTATACACAGGGCCAGTATTGCCAATGCCAATATCAGTCCTGATACTTCCTAACCTGTAAAGGCAGCTTATATTGGGGAGAGCAGTGTGCATTTCATCCATTTTTCCATTTCCAAAAAAAGTGATCCATTTAAAACTATTCATTGTTAAATAGATCACTTTCAAGTATTGATGCTATCACATTAATATCGATCTGATACCAATACTAGTGTTGGTATCGATACTGTTGATATTTGGATCTATCTGCCCACATCTACTAAAAAGATCCTGCACTTCTGGCTGCTTTCAAACTTTTGCACATGCTCTCTGAAAAAGACGTGGCAGTAGATGGCTCTTAAGTGCGTGTGTGCCTGCCTTGTGGCCTTTTCTGTCTCACAGTAATGCCAGGTTGCCATGCAGATACAAGATTACCACAGCGTGATCAGATTATGATCTGCCGTGGCTCACTTAGGGGGTGGACGTTGCAGATGTAGAGAGCGGGGGATGGTCAGATGTTCGGCATCAATTGAGGGTTCAGTCATTGTGTAAAAGTCCTGCAGTATTAGGAGAGACTTGCTGCCTGTGTAAGGAGGATGATTGGTGTGATCCAGTCAGATCTTTAGGTAATTGTTTTGTTTATGCTGTTACTGATTCTACTCTACTGTTGCCTCCCACCTTCCCCAGGTGACCTTTAAAACAGATCTGTCCACAGCTGAGGTTCACGATGAAAACATCAAAGGACCTCTAAAGGTAAGAACGGAAAGATGGAGACCTATTATTATTATTATTATTATCATTAGTAATGAATCCCTCCTGTCTGAATTTAAGACTCCTTATTTTATTTTATTTATTTATTTTTAGCTTCACTCCTGTTTGTATCTAAGCTACACTTCACCCTCCCTTTGCATAAAAGCGCACAGGGCAGCAAAGCATTAGCTTTGCAATTTAATTTCACTACATTAAGGGTTTATGTAGCAGCAGTATCATCTTCTCATTACTTGAAAAGACATCATTTAGATTTATCAGCACAATGTAATAATAATTAGTGCACTGACTGGCAGAATAACAGCAGTGTATCCGTCCCACAGGTGGGTGCTGTTGTGGAGGTGAAGAATCAGGATGGAGTTTACCAAGAAGCCACAATCAATAAGCTGACCGATGCTAGTATATATACAGTTGGTAAGTCAATAACAAGCTGTCTGCCTTGCCTCCTTCCTCTCACACTCTTCTTTACTCTACCGCTACCTCATAAAAAACATGTTTGCACTGACAGAAAATCCTGCATGCTGATTTGTGTTTCTTGGACTGCGAAGTTGCTACAACTTTGAGAATTTTAGTCAACATATTAAATAAGGGGAACGTCAACCAGTGGTGCCTCTGCAGTTTTGAATGTGTGCATGGTAGGGCTGCCACAAATGATTATTTTGATAATCGACTAGTCACCGATTATTTTTACGATTAGTCGACTAATCAGATCATGCATCCATTTGACGTAAAACGTACAGCTTATTGCACCAGCACGCATCTGCTCTTATATAACTATCATTAGCTTACAGCTTTAAGTGTTTAAGGTATGTGCTAACTAAAAATAAAGACAAGATGATAGTTTGTTAAATTTCGGTGAAGTTGAATAAACTCCTTGCTATCTAAAACATAACAGGACACCGGAGTATATTCTGGAGCATCTCACACTTCTGATAATCAGCTGTCTGCTTGACGTTTATTCAGCTGTGTAAAAACTTTAACTTTAATCTCAGCCAAACCGATTTACTCAGGAACAAATAAAATACTAAAAAAAAAAGCCAAACAATAACATTTTTAAGTTATTTAAATGACTCATGTTTAACCTGAGTAGCGAAAGACGGCGATGGGTTTGAAAACGATTTGCTGGGAGTCCGGTGTTCTCACGGCTCTAGTGAGCCTAGCCCCCGGCTAGCTATCGAGCTGGTGGGTAACCGACATCTCCGAAAACGTCGGAGCACTTTTGAAAATATGTGGTGTCCTGATAAACTGAGCAGATATTTGAGGTTTACACAGCTACATTCTCGCCTGAAAATATGTTGAATGTTTATTTTGTGACCCAGAAAGAAAAATAGAGTAATATTAAAACTAACTAGCTGCCGCCATTGTTGACAACTGCGCTGGCTTGCGCTATGAATTCTGGGACACAGCTACTTCTTCTTCTTCGGGGTTTAACGGCAGCTGGCATCCTTGTACATGCAGTGCTGCCATCTTCTGTTTCAGTTCGTTATTACACTCTTAAATCCTACTACTTATTCCTGCAGCTTTTGTGAGCTTACAAAGCTTCAAACGACGCATCGACTATTAAATCAGCCGTCGACGATTTTGATAGTCGACTAATCGTGGCAGCCCTAGTGCATGGAAAGATTAACTGTGCTGATACTTTTGGCTGCTCTCTTATTCACCTCAGCAGGTAGCTCCACATATTTCAGTTGAAAACTATTTATTTATTTTACACCTTATGCCCTTCCTGACTCATCCCCAGTGGGATTTGAGTCTCCTGCTGGGACCATTAGGCCAGTGTGTAAACCACTACTCTAAGGCTACGTTCACACTGCAGGTCTCAATGGTCTCAATGAAAATAAAATGTTCACGTTTCCCCAACGTTGTCTTCCCAACAGTTTCACTAACATCTACACTTATTGGCCAGGAAGCGTTTGCGATGTCTTCTCGGGCGCTGATAATTGGCGTCTGTCTTGTGTCAGTGACGTAAAAGACGGATTTAATGCGACATGACCGTTCAAACAGCAGTCGCTTTCTAAAACATCGGATATGTATCGGACTCAGTACCACAAACGAAAGTGACCCAGATCGGATTTGAAAATATCGGATTTGTGCCGTTCACACTGTCATACCATGATCGGATATGGGTCGCATAGGGTCAAAAAAATCGGATTTGATGCGCTTTCGCCTGCAGTGTGAACGCAGCCTAAGAAACCACAGGACAAATACTAGGCTGGACCTACTTTTGCTTTCTGAACTGCCTTAATTCAACAAGTTTTTGGAAACATCGCTTAGAGATTTTGGTCCATATTTAAATGATGGCGTCAGCTGCACATCCATGATGGGATTCTCCATTTCCCCATGGTTTCATGTTGTTTACACTGGTTGGTGAACTGTAGGCTTAGTTTCCTGTTCTTAGTTGGCAGGAGTGACACCCGGTGTGGTCTTCTGCTGCTGTAGCAAATCTGCTTCAGGGTTTGATGTCCCTTGGTTGCCTTGCTATCAGCTTGAAGCAGTCTGACCATTCTCCTCTGACCTCTGACATCAACAAGACACTTTCCCCCAGAGAACTGTGCCTCCTGGGATCTTTTCTCTTTTTCAGATCGTTCTCTGTAAGCCTTAGAGATGGTTATATGGGAAAATACCAGTCACTTAAATCACCTGCTGTCATGTTATTGCCTGATTACGTACTAGCATTAATGAGCACTTTAACAGATGATGAAGTGGCCAGTAGGTGTATTTGGCTAAATAGCGGAAACCAAAAGTGTCTTATTAGCAATTAGTATATAGTTAGCTAAAACAATGAATAATTTAGAGTATCTATGTATGAATACATGAAGTTTAAACTAATCTTAACACCAGAAAGAACAACCAGAAGAACACTGTGGGCCAAAAAGACGGGAATCACTGTAATATAACACAAGATAGCAAGTGAGAAATGCTGGTGATGCTACATGTAGGGGGATGAAGTGTGATATCAATCATTTGCTCTATAAAAAGTTCAAAATAAATATGACAGGGTGGTGAGAACCTCAAAAACCCCAAGTTTTAGCTTCTAACTGAACAGATTTGGTGTTGGGGTTTGTCTTTGGGTTTTTTTGTGCCCACAGTTTGTAATTGCGAGTCTGTCAAGAGCACGCAGTTACATTGTTGGATAATCCAGAGTACACAGCATATAGACTTTCTGCAAAGCTTTCCAGTCTCTCGGCAGCTGCTCGTCACTTAAGAGCACCCGTGGGGGTTTTCTGCGCCTTGAAAACACTCATCTCGACACATTTTCATTCTTTTCTTTCGCTGGTGGGGAAAACAAAAACATAACTCACTGTTGAAGTTACTTCAAGTGTTCCCCTCATTGTTGTCTACAAGTACGTTTGAACAATGAACAACCCAGGGTTTGTCTTTGCGATCCAAGAGACTGTTTTAAGAGTCCTTGAGGTCATTATTATTAAATTTAATGTTAGATTTAGTGCTCTTTCACATGTGAGCGCATTTTACAAATGGCTGCTCATTTATGGATAAAATATCAGAGAGATATGAATTAAATTGAGACGCTTCTCCTCACGTCTTTATTTTGCTGTTTACTCAGCTCTGTGTAGCAGAGGGTCCTTGAAGCTCGAGTAAATCTGTGAGCTGAAAGTAACCGTGGCTGCCTGCTGGAGAACGTATGAGCCTTAAAAGACGAGCATCATTTGTTTGCAGTATATCTGAGGCGCGATGGCATTTTGTAACTGAGGCAGGAGTCTGTCTGTGCTTGAGTTTGTTTTTGTGTGGGCGCGGGGGTACCGGTGGGCTCGCAGTCTGATAGTTGGTCTTTTATCTCCGCAGTGTTTGATGACGGCGATGAGAAGACCCTGAGGCGTTCCTCCCTCTGCCTGAAAGGAGCGCGTCACTTTGCGGAGAGCGAGGCAAGTATCGCACTGCCCCTCAGTCCCATAACAGCCTCATCTCTGCTTTCTGGGGAAATGAAGCTCATTTTGTGTATAAATCCATTTATAAGTGTGCGAATAGAGGGTAAACCTTTTTGTCCGGTTGTGTTCTCTCCATCGCAGACACTTGACCGACTCCCTCTCACCAACCCCGAGCACTTCGGCACACCCGTCATCGGCAAGAAGGGGAACCGCGGTCGGCGATCAAACCCGATGTGAGTATCATCCACTGGTCTCTGTGCTCAATCCCGCAGCGCTCATATTTAGCTTCATTTTATCAGAGGCCTGTGATGCCAATGGGAAGGTATTTTCTGTTCCGATCCTCCGCCATCAGAAACAGACTCGCCCTGCTCTAAGTGTGCTGACAGCAGTTGAAATGAAAGATTTACTCTCATCTCCATCCCCTCATAAAGAGCCCCTGAGGCCTGGAAGGAGAGAGAGCCTGCTCGCCTCCTCCAGCTCCTTAATCATAGCGGGCTCCCTGAGTGTGTGCGCATGCATGCTGGAGAGGCAGAATGAGCGTGGCACAGTCCTGCTGAACGTTATCTCTTTTTTTTTAAATTATTTATTTAATTTTCCCTGCTTTGAGTCTAATGTTGCAGTGAGTGTTTTATGCTCTGATGTCCCTGCTCCTGGGAGACGGCACAGTTTTCATCGAGGGAATAAGAACTGCTGAGGGTCTTCTTCTTTTTTTTTTTGGTGCTGGGTATATTCGTAGCTCCTCTCTGGTATAAAGAGGACACTTGGCTAGATAATCTTATTCTCTTGCTAATGGCGCCCAGAGAAGTCAATATTACTCTAAGCATTGATGCAATATTGACTCGGAGCGGTCCCAGCTGCACATTAGCACCTCGGACCTTTTGTTTCTTTAGCGTGCACTAATAGTGTTTCAGCTTTTGAACTGCAGGGATTGGCTGCTCTGTAAAGATAGCAGCCACAAGGCCTGCTTTTAAGTTGTTGTTTAAAAAGGGGGGGGTGGGGGGTGTATAGTTTGACTTGTTGGAAAACATGCTAATTTGCCCTCCTGAGTTAAATGAGAGGAGAAATATGCATTAACATAAACACAGGAAACAGAGGAAATAAGTTTATGTAGCTGTGAGTTTGCCAGACGACAGAGAAGGAGTCACTGACCATGCCAAGAAATAGACAAGCTGTTAATTAATGATATTTTTAGGTTGCTTTAAGGCTTATTTTACTTTGTTTTTTAAGGAGCATAAGGAGAGCTGTTACCCGTGTTGTTTGGTGGTAAGAGTGCCATCAATCGTCTCCTCCAACAGGAAAAAGCGAGTGTATCTCAGAATGTGTTTATTTAAATTGCTGCCTTTAAAAGCAACGACAACTGTAAAGCAATCCCTGCAACATCAGTCTTTACAAGTGGAGAAAACGTTTCTTTTTTTTCCCCTAAATGAATAATAGTCTGTGCCTCATTGAAGAGTTAGTGTTTTCTTTGTGACTTTGATTCACAGCTTAGTTGTTGTTGTTGTTGTAATAGTAGCAGCCTGGCTGATTTACAGCTCTTGAGTGGTGCCAAATGCTGCGTGTGTTTATATGTACATAGAGCTGTGCTCAGAGCCCCGTGAGCCACAAAAAGAGAAAAGCAGGGTCTGTTTGCCTCTCGGTGCTTCCTGCATGATCACTCAGAGACGAGGCTATCTGTCAGGGCTCTGCCCGAGCATCAGGAAGACTGTCAGACGGCACACAGTGAGCCGGCTCCTTTTTACCCACCGATCCTAATGAGTGAGCTCATCAGTAGAGGCAACCTTATGTCTCACTGTGCTACATGATAAGACAATGATGGATTGTTAGGTGGAGACTGGTGGAGGTGTTGTTTTTAATCTGAGGAGCAGTTAAATGATGACTTGGTTATCAGAAATCATCTGCCTCCCCCTTTTTTCCCTTTTTTAAATTGAGACACGCAGTTTTCTGTAACTGAAATATAAATGGAATACGACCATTCACGGCGCCTCTTTATTATATTATATTGCATAACACAGAGAAAAGCAGCAAATACTCAGAATCAAATTCATTACTTAGGAATGTTTGGCATTTTTGCTAAGTGGCTTTTAAAATCAACAGCAGCTCTCACGTGGTATACTTGAATTCATGTAATGAAGGTAAAATGGTGTAAATGGTGTAATATATGAATGCTCGCTGTGCCGTTCTGTAGCGAAGTCCATTGAGCAAAGTCTCCCTTCCTCCCACAGTCAAGAGGAGGAGTTGTCCTCATCCTCCAGTGAAGAGGAGGAGAGCGATCAGCGGCAGAATGAAGACCTGTTCGGCAAGGTGGTCTGCGTGGAAGGGGTTCCCACCGGGGACAAAAAGAAGACTACGTGGTATCCTGCTCTGGTGAGCTGATAAGCTTTCCTTCCTTTGCTGCTCTCTGCAGCATCGCTGTGGAGGAACGGGGGCTGCTGCTGCTGCCGGGCTTCCAGTGAAGTCACGGCATTATGCAGTTTCATCAAAATGCCTGCTTATGTAACCTCAGCACTCAGCAGGATTATGTTATTGTGCTAGAATTTGCCTTCCATCAAATGCTGTAATATGCATGTAATAACATTTCATATCCAGACAGACTTCATGTTCCGACTTGAAGGACGAAAAAGAGCTCGAGTCTTATTTTGCAGAAGAAAAAACCCCCGACTTGTTTTCCATGATGTGTGCGAAATGTCAGACAGACATCAGTTTGATGTCTTCAGTCTTTGCCTATCCATTTCCATCCACCCAGCTGTAACTCTCAGTCACCGTTAGCGCACAATGAAATAGTGACAGGCCTTGTTTGTTTGTGTAAGTGTTACAAGTAGAACTGGGAGAATAGGAGAGGGTGGGGAAAGCTGTCCCTTTTACTGTGTAGTCAGCAGGGGCCCCGCCTCCAGGATTTGTTGTTCTTGGCTTGCTACTGACTGAGCTCCATGCTGCCTCCTTGTGACAGTTGAGAGAAGTGCACTGCACAGTAGCCTGTCATTGTTTACACTGCAACCATATGGCAGAGGGGTGGAGTAGGTACACTGGCAGCTGTCTCGTGCAACAGATGATGCGCGGCTGTGATAGACAGGGGCTCTTTTGGGTGGCCTTGTTATGTAAAAGTTCTAAGACACGAGCGTGCACGTGTGAGCGTATGTGACAGAGCTCGAAATCACACAGCAGGCGTGAGTCATGGACCTGAAGTGAAAGCATCCAATCCCGTGAGCCCGAGTGTACGCAGGCCTGCTGGAAATGCGCTGCTTCTTTTGGGTTAGACCCCGGCAGGAGTAGCAGCCCTCACGTTAGTCCTCCTCCTCAGCTCCAGCTGCTAATGATGCTGGCGGGTGCCCACCCCTCGTCATCTCTCGCTCTTCATCTCTCCTGCTAGTTTGATTTTGTATCATAGGCAGCACATTTTGTAATCAATCAGTGTGCCCTTTTGCTGAAACCGCTTTAGTCATTAAGTCATTCTCTGATACACCCCCACCCCTCCCCTATTCTTCTTCTTTTTATTGCCTCAGCACCACCTCACGTGACCTTTTTCTGACTTTCTCTTGTTTCTGTGCAACAAGGTCATCTCCCCCGACTGCCACGAAGACATGACCGTGAAGAAGGACAACGTCTTTGTGCGCTCGTTCAAGGATGGAAAATTGTGAGTCATTAATAATTCGCCCAAAGCGACATTTACATTCTGTTGTGTTAAGCTGCTTCTGCACTAATCATTATTAGTAGCTTATCCAGCATAATTTATGATGCAATCAATGAAAAGTGAGACAGAGGGAACTTGGGCCGCTTGTCGGCCACAAAACTAAGAGGTAGTAAAGCTGTGGCGTGCAGATGCTTTGCGCTGGCCCTTGATCATTTATATAAGTTGTTCTTGATTCATTTTTGTTTGTAAGTCAATTTGCACACTAACCATTTAATACTAATGTAAAGTACGGCCATTGTGGCTCTGTCAGATAACATTTGTATTTCTTGACTAAGTAATTGTGCGTGTGTTTGGTGAATGAATTCAAATCTCCATTGATTAGAGAAATATAGGCTCATATAGGCCTCAAGCACACAGCCTTCCTCAGCAGCATCGCCTATTGTTATTTTATTTGTCCTGAGGCTGTGAGTTACTGGTGTGGAGAGGTAGTGTAGCTTCCCTGCAGCCTGCCCTCGGCATAGAACCACACAGCCAGATTGTTTTGTCTGTGGTAAAGAAAGAAATAAGTCCTGTCAAGAGCTCAGCTGGCGGTTGTGTTACTGCAGCCTTTCTTCATGTGGGTAGAAACATAGCCCACACTCAGCATAAATTAATTTGGCGCTTGTTCGCCCGCTCCAAAGACTACTTTCCTGTCTGTTTGAATTCCCGCAATGACTAAATACACTTGCTTTAAAAGGAATCTTGAGCGAGTCGCCGGCGTGACCTCCTTAATCTGCGGCTGAAGACAAATATGCAGCACAGGAAGTCTTATCACTCGGCTAAAGGTAGAGCTGATGAAAGGGATAAGATAAAGAATGATAAATCGGAGACCAGCTGGAAGTTGTACGGCTGTGAAGTATTTCCTCTCTGACCGAGGGCACCCTGTGAAAAACCTGTGTGGTGTTTTTTTTTGTCTTGTTTGCAAGTGGAATCGCATTGGAGTACTTTTTCTTTCTGCTCTGCAGCTATTTGATTTAAGTCGCTGAAAGCGCTACTGTGCATCCAGGTGAGATTGCAAAAAACAGCAAATGAAAGGAGGAGGAAAATCTATATGATTGTTTTCAGTTTGTTTCCGTCTCCATTCGGTTTGCTCTCATATGCATGAAGCAAAATTTCCAACATGTGTATCATTATTGTTACGCATAGCATTTTCAGAGTGTAGTAGCGAGACATAAGAAAACACATTTTAAGCACATTTGATTGCTGAGTGTGCATCCTCTCTGTCGCTGCAATGCTGTGTGATTTCCTTTAGCCCTTTTACTGCTTTCAAGTGCCTTTCCATTCTTCTGCACACACTTGTCACTGTTTATTATTCCACTTTTTATCTTTTCTGACAACCTCTTCTCAGCTATTATCAGGCTGGTGTGGTTTGTTTTTTGAACAAGGGGTTTACATCCATAGGCCACGTGACCTCTCCCGCACAGCACCCGGGGTCAGTGTGTTCGCTTTCCTCAGGAGAGTTGTATATTGTTACTAATAACCATTGAACATGTCTTTCAAAAAAAAACAAAACAATGGCTTGGAAAACATTTTGAGGGAAAGGAAGGTCAGATCCAGGGATGAGGCGGGAGTTGTCAGGAAGTGGTTTTACTGTTTCCACTGTTACTACAGTAACCAGATCTGACAAGTCTTTCCTGTTTCCACTTTTTTTCCCCATTTAGCCAGCTTGCAAACTTGTCTGTGTTTTTTAACCTGCAACGGAAAAAGACAGTGTAATGAGCGTGAGTGGGTTTTAAACCTCAGCTAAACAAACCTGCACGTGGTTTCTCCGAGTTACAGACAGGTGTCCTTGTCAGTGCAGTGTTTGTAGTGATTATCTAAGGAAATGCCAGGAAACCGAGCCGTTCTCTCAGTGTGAGGTCGTTTAGCTTTTATACACTTGTTTCTTTAAAATTTCACTCCATGACAAATCTAGTCATTGGATCTGCTCAGCTGCCTACAGATACCACAGCAAATCGCCTCACATTGCTCACCAGCCAAACCTCTGACTGCTTTCAGCTTACAAGCTTCACTGATCCGTGTGTCTGCCAAATCGCCAGCAGCTGACTGTGCCCAGCCGCTTTAGGGGTGCTGTAAGAAAGTAGTCTGTGACCGCTCAGGTTTTTGGAGGCTTTGATTGGCGCACAGCTGTAAGGTTGTTTTAATGAATAAGACTATACGGTAGAGCTCTGAGCTGTTTAGACTTTGTTGTTTTAAGAAAACTTTTTTTTTTCTACTCCACACTTTCTAATCAGAGTTGCTATATTTTTATTTATTTTTTGCAGTTACATGGTGCTACAGAAGGACGTCCGTGAGTTCGACAGCAGCTGCCCCCCAAAAGCTGACGCGAGCCTCAAACCCGGTGAGTTTGAAGTCGGTGCTACAGAAGTGGTGCGCAGCAGAGCATACCTTTTATCAGCCGTCTGCGGGCAGCTCTGTACGCTGACACACTTGGCAGAAAACACTCGCAGAGTGGAAGACCAGAGAAGTTTTGTTTATGTTCTGGAGAGAACGCAGCGGTGGAGAGCTCCTGTCACTCTGCAGTCTATTTTTAAAGTCCTCACTAAACTTTTTTTATAAAAGTGCTACATTATTTTTCATTTTATTCAAATCTTTTTCCACCGCTGAGCTCGTACTCTCGTAATTGCACTTAGCATACAGCTTTGTATTGTCCCCGTCTTGATATTCACAGGTGGTTGACTCACAACTGTGATATTTTCCGCGTTACAAAAGCGTAAAACAAGCATCTGCCAAGGTGGTTAGATACTGCTAAAACCCACCTGTGACACTGTGGCTGGATGCTTCAGCTGCTGTGCGTCACTGTGCAAACACTGGCAGGTTTTCATGCTTCCAGAGTTCCTGGTCTTTTTTATACTGTAGCTTTTATGTGGGCGTATTATTGTTGTATATAGTGTAGAACACATTTTTAAAGGTATAAGTGTGTCTTTTGAGCATGCAGTGATGCACGCACAGCTCCAAGAAGTGTTTACGAGGTTCGATTAATCCACTCTTTCAGCGCTGGACGCAGCCCTGGAGTTCCAGAGGCAGCTGGTCGTGCCCAGCATCTGGAAGACAGAAGTGAAGGAGGAAAGTTCCAGCAGCGAAGAGGATGATGACGACGAAGAGGAGGAGCAGGAGGAGGATGCGAGTGGTGAAGAGGAGGAGGTAGAGACAGCAGAGCGCACTTATCCTCTTATCCTACAACCTCCCAGATTTAAAAAAAAAGAAAAAAAGAGAGATGCCAAACTGTCTTGTTTCCTGTCTGCAGGAGGAGGTGGAGCCGTTCCCCGAGGAGAGGGAGAACTTTCTGCAGCAACTCTACAAGTTCATGGAAGACAGAGGTGAGAGCAGGGCAGGGACCAGTGTGATGTTTGAGGTTTATTTTCATTTGTGAGACAGGTTGTGAATTTTGTCTTCTTCTTTTTTTTTTCCTATTAAAAAGAAAAATCATAATTTTCTCCAGCAGACAAACATGTTGTGCTGCTTTTCTTACCACATCCACCTATGCCTTCTGCTTCTCCTCTTCAGGGACTCCCATTAACAAGCGGCCGGTTCTGGGCTACAGGAACCTCAACCTGTTCAAGCTCTACAGGCTGGTGCACAAACTGGGAGGTTTTGACAATGTGAGTGCTACTGCCCGCCCCTGAGAGCAGTTTGATGTCGCTCTCATTTCGTTTGGTGTCGACTCTCTCTGAATTTTGTCTCCCTCGTTGAGCAGATTGAGAGCGGTTCTGTTTGGAAGCAAGTCTATCAGGATTTGGGAATCCCCGTGCTCAACTCAGCTGCTGGCTACAACGTCAAATGTGCTTACCGCAAGTACGTACAGACACTCCACAGCTCGAAAGCTTTCAAAATGCAAAATCCTCCAATCGACTTGCTTTTCATCTTTGTGTGATTAACTCTGAGCGGCGCAGGTGTGTCGGCGTGCGCACGCTTTGGAGCAGTAAGATTAAACTTTGGAAAATCTTATTGGATGTGTTGAATGTCTCATCACGCAGGTACTTATACGGATTTGAGGAATACTGCACCTCCACTGCCATCACATTCAAAATGGACCTCCCTTTGAAGCAGGGGACCAAGGGGGAGGGGAAACCTGAGGGGGAGGCAGGGAAAACGGCTCCTACGTCATCAGTCGCCGAAGAGCCGAAAGCCCAAGTGGACGGAGAACCTTGTAGCACACAGCCCGTTATCTGCAAGGTGCATTATCCCGAGTGCTGTCTGTTATTCTAGATGAATTTCTGCACACCTCCCATGTTACTCATAATAAAGCGTCATGTCTGTGAAGGTTCTCAGTCTATAACCTTCACAATAATAAAGCGTCCTTCTCTCACAGGACGAGAAACCTGATTCGACCCCGAGTAAAACGGAATCCGAAACATCGAAAAGCGAGGGGAAAGAGGGCGGAAACGATGGCGATGACGAAGAAGAGGACGGTCCGCACAAAGCCGACGCCGACGAGGGCTCGTCGACGGCTCGCCTCGGAGCCGACGACATGAAGGAGGAGCACGATGAGGAGCAGGAGAGCAAGGACAACTCTGGGTAGGTTCACTGAAGGGGATGCTCCCTCCTCCACAGTTGCTTAAAAAACAAAACGTATGGTCAGGGCACAAACATGAGCTCCTGCATGGTAAAACTATTCCATGTGAAAGCAAAATAAGAATGCAAAAGGACTCGAGGTATTTGCTTTCCTTGGTGGCAGCACGATGCTAGAACACCATTAGCAGATGAGGAGCAGTGATCCTTCTGACCTTAAAAGTACTAATACGCCGTATACTCTTACCTGCTAACCAGAGAGAGGCGTGCTCTCCTCTGTCTCCTCTAACTAAGCTCTTATCCACTGCCCTTTGTGCTATTATTATTCCTTGTTGCTTAGTCGACATCGGCTGGCAGAGACATCTTAGAGCACCAAAGCCTGACTGCTACCTTTCACCTGGCATGTCATGCTGTGCTTTCTCGCTGTCTCTCGCTCGCTGGGATTGTTTGACCATGCCGAGCCTCTCTCACTCAGTGCACAACATGGCTGTGCTCTTCTTGATTCCTGCCCTTTCCTGATCTCTCTCTCTGCCACCCTCTTCCTGTCTTTTCTCTCATCTTTTTGGCTTTCAGTGTTCAGCTTTATTTAAATGTTCCATGTGTGTGAATGTTGTCATAGATGCATTAACCCTCCAGTTGTGAGATATGTATATATCTTTATATATACAGTGCTTGAGATGCTTTTAGAGGAAAACTCTGAGTGTTGGTAAATGGATTGTTGTACAGTTTGGCCTCAGCAGTCGCATTTTCCCTGTTGCCTCCTGTATTTGGGGCCGTCTGTCCAGCTCAGACCTGTTTGTTCAACGTCCACAGTGACAGATGTACAGTTGTGTTGTTTGGACTGCTGAAAGCTAGAAAACAGGTTCTTGGTTTACTGAGTCTCTGTGTCTGACTGAAGGACTGCAAAATTCCTGCACGTTATGAGGAGGTTATCTGTCGTTTATACCAACCGTGGCCACAGATACCTGCTGATAGAAGACCACTTGTGACCTCTATGACAGTCAGAAGTCTCCTTGATCCTTCGGCTTTGTCGGGATCAACGTCCTTGCAGATTACGAGTTTACAGATGCACTCAGTGGACAAGCCGCAGGCTGATCTGATCTGAGCTTTTCTGATCATATCAAACCTGTTTGATGTTTACAGGCTGTAAACTGGAACAGACCAGTGTTGTGTCAGGGTCATGTTTTCATTCCAGCATCAGCACAGACGGCGTGTAGCCACTGAAACTAGCTTGCTGTGAGCTTAAACGAGAAGGCGATGCATTAGTAGGAGACATCGATGAGTTATTGTTGAGTTCTTGCTGGACAGGTGCTTATTTTTACGATGAAGCCTTCTCAACGGCTTTGCTGGAAAGTTCACTTGGACTGTTGACCTTTTGGCTTTTACTCATAATGATGAGCAGTGCAGTTGAATTGTGCTCATTTTGAGCAAGCCAAGTCTTAATCTACGTGATATTTGTGTGTTTTATTTATTTTTCAATCAGGGGTGGAAATGTTTTTAAAAATCAGTCGGTTCCTGGAAATAAGCCCGTCTGCACATTCTGAGGAGCTAAGTTTGGGAGGGACTGTGAGGCGTGCTGTGGTGTAGATGTTGTTTGTCGCAGCGGGCCGACTAGGACCTCGCAGCCGTGCTTCCTCTCAGTGCTGTAGCCTCGCTTTAAGTTGCTGCGTTGCCTGTCCCGTTGCGCTTTGCCATGCTTAACCCACCCCACGAGGCCCCCTGGCGCCTAAAACACTTACTGACACCCCTGCACCACCCCTATATCTCCTGATTGTTTCCCTCTAGCTCCTTCTTGTGGCTGCTTTGTTTCTTTACAGCGTGCGTACGAGGGTGAATGAGAATCCCCTGTGTGTGTGTGTGTGTGTGGGGTTAGACAGCATAACAGTAGTGTGATTTCTTATCATTAATTTTTACTATGAAAGAATAAAGAATGATGTGTTTTGTTTGTTTTTTTGCTGAAACACTTCATGTACTGTTCTTTGACTGGCTTTTCTATTAATGATGCAGCTGGACTAGAGCTAAGGCAGCTTATGTTTCTGTGCAGGTGAAGGTGTAGTGTTGTAATGGGACAGGGAAAGGCAAGGGTGGAGCAAATAGACTAGAAAACAGGCTTGTTATAGCAGCAGGCAGCGAGTTGGGGGTGGATGGGTGAGGGTGGTGGTTTTTGTGGTGTTATAGCCTAGGGCCAGGAAGTGCTGAACTGTTTTTCTTGCAGGGATGACAGCAGTCAGGAGGGGGAGGAAGGGGAGGAGTTTGAGTGTTACCCCCCGGGGATGAAGGTGCAGGTGAGGTATGGGCGAGGCCGCAATCTGAAGACGTACGAGGCCACTGTGAAAGAGGCAGACGTGGAGGGGGGAGAGGTGCTCTACCTGGTGCACTACTGTGGCTGGAACGTCAGGTAAGACAGGACCTGGGGAGAAATCACCTAAACGTCTATTTTCACCCTAATTCAAAAGAAAACAGACCAAAAAAACAAATTTTTAAAAATCCATCTCTTAACTCATGGGATCACCGCCTACGTGGGTGTCCCCGCAGCAGTAACCCTTCCTCACAATTCTGCTTCGTGTGAACCAGTGCCATGGTCAGCACTCTGATTATGGAGAGCACTGGGCCATCTAGTGGCAGAAACACAACTGAGTATCGGGTTGATGCGGATTCACTCCTCAGCTTCCTCTCTCTCAGTTTTGACCAAAATCCCCTGTCTGTCTGTCCCCCAGCTGTCTGTCTCTCAAACAGATCTACAGACAGCCTGAATTTTTTTTTAATTTCTTTTTTTTAACCAATTTGAAGTCTTTTAACAATCAAACAAAACTTCCAATCCTACAATGTGATATTTGAATGTGAGCTAACACTGAATGGCCAACCTAAGTGCTGCTACACTCACCTCTACCTCTCAACCCTCTCCCCCCTCCCCAGCGGGTCAGGGTTAAACGCAGTGTTGAGTAGAGTGTTAGGGTACCATGACACAGAGGTTAACTAGTGCAATCGGCATTTCATCGTCTCAATGTTGTTGTGTGGTCCTCTAGCACTCTATAAAAGACAGTGGGATGTTCTCTGCATTGTGTCTGTTGTGTGTGATGTTGTGAAACTTTTTTCTTCCATCCCCCCCCTCCCCTCCTCCTCATACGACCCACTTCCTCGGTATTGTGTGAATTCTACTGAATATGATTTGTGTGGTGGTCGGTGTTCTATCTTGTTTCTTTCTTCATCGTAAAAAGGTTGTGTCTTTTTTTCCACATAACACCATGGGATTTCTTCTCTTGCTGTTGAGGCTTACTGTGTCACAGCAATATGTCGGGGTCAGACAGTAGAAGCGTCTGTGTGGTGGTGGGTGGTGTGAGAGAATATTTCACAGCTCCTTCTTCAAAGTCCTAAATGATGAAACTCTTTCTCGTCTTTGTACTTGATTTTTTTTCCCTTTTTTTTTCTTCTTTCTTTCTTTCTTTTTCTTTTTTTTTTTTTTTTATAGATATGATGAGTGGATCAAAGCAGACAAGATTGTGCGACCCGCCAATAAGAATGTACCAAAAATAAAGCACCGTAAAAAAATAAAGGTATGACTTTGGAGAGGCGGTGACTTTTATTAAGTCTTAAAATCCCGGTTTGGTGTCGTGAAGTGAAAGGCTGACTGACTTATGTTGACTTCTGGCAGAAAATGCAAGACAATTTGGAGAGGCTCGATGACAGGGAGGTCCTCGGCCCTTCGTCCAACGCTAACCGTGTCCCGCGCTCCAAGTGTGGCCTGAGCCAGGACGTCTTTTCCAAGATGGACGAGGGTGAGGACAAAGGGCCTCAGCAGTCTCCAGTCAAGGCTATAGAAATTACTTCTATCCTCAATGGCCTGCAAGGTAGCAACACTCATTAGCCTGTAGTGGTCATGCACACTTGCAGCAGATTAGGACCGCGTCACTCTGATGTGTGGTTTTTTTTGTTTTGTTTTTTAACAACCTAATATAGCTTTGTTCTGTTTGCTTCAGCCTCCGAGGTGTCCACGGATGAAAGCGAGCATGAAGCTGAGGAGGGAGAGCATAACGAAGAGGATCAGCCAGGGAGCCGTCTCAGAAAAGGCCAACCAGAGCCACCGCAAATTCCAGAGCGCTGGGAGGGCGGAGCCCCGTCCGAAGGGTCCAAACCCTGTCCTGTCACGGGAAAGGCCCAGGACACCGTCAGTGTGGAGAGCCCAGATGCCGGAAAGCGCAGAAGCCAACCAGAGTCGGAGGGAGAGGCGAGCACGAGGAAGAGGAAAGCTGACAGCGCAGCAGAGAGGACTCCAAAAGGTCAATCCAAAGCTAAGACCAGGAACACCAGGAGTGCTGACTGGCTACCTGCGGGTTCTCCGATGAGAGGGGAGGAGAGAGCAGCCGCTCCTGGAGAGGAGAGGGGGGCCTCATCTAGCAGCAGTTCAGATGATGAGGGTGCAGCTGTGGCCGAGGCTCAGCCTGAGGAAAGTGAGCGAACCCGCCCCAAAACCAAGGGGTCACCAACCAAGAAGTACAACGGAATGAAGGAGAAAAGCAAAACCAGCCGACAAGGAGGCTTCTGGGAGATTCCCGAAAAGAGAGCCAAAGTTTCTGGGAATGTAGAGGAAAGGCCCGCCGTTCGCCCAAAAGGACAAAAAGACGTGTGGTCCAGCATCCAGGCCCAGTGGCCAAAGAAGACTCTCAAGGAGTTATTCTCTGACTCGGACACGGAGGCCGCAAACTCTCCTCCCCCACCGGTGTCCTCGTGTATGGAAGAGCCGAGCGTCGAGCAGGACGCGAGAGGCGAGGATGACACCTCGCAGGAGCAGATGGAGACTGAAAAGCTCCGGGAGTTCCCGAGCAGCGGGAGCAACTCTGTACTCAACACGCCACCGACGACGCCGGAGTCCCCATCGGGAGGAGGAGGCAGCGCCGTGGAAGAGTCTGGTCAAGCGCAGCCTTCCTCCCCGCCCCCATCCATACCCGCTGCCTTGCCTTCAGAGCCGGTTTCAGACGCTCTTCCCACAGGGCCAGTACAGGAGGAGGTGACGGGCGGGCGCAGCGAGACAGATAGCAGCACAGTGGAGGTGGAGAGTCTAGGAGGAGAGCTGCAGGACGAAGGGGCGAGTTCCCCCTCGAAGGTGTTCGACGTCAGCCTCTCGTGCAACAGCAGCAGCAGCTGCAGCCTCGAGCTGAGCAACAGCAGCCAGCAGGAGAGCGAACAGAAGTCCAAAGGTACGAGTGGCAGCAAAAATCTATTTTAACAGGTTTATTTTTCAGTGACACAACTCATCATTTTTCTTCAGGATGGAATACTGAAGAAACAGAGGCTGACTACTCATTTCACAGTCCGCCTATTCCCTCACCGTCTTCTCACTCTTTTCTTTTGTAGCGTCTGCGAGTCAGAAGCGGCAGAAAGAATCACAGACTGGCGGCGCAACAAAGAAACACAAGCCAAACCGCAAGAGCCTCGGTGTGCCTCCCAAAAAGAATAGGAAAACAGGTAAGAAGCGCTGTGGGTAGAAATGATGACACCCGCTAACGTTCTCATTTTCAGCGCCAGCACTGCTTTCATGTGTCTCCGTTTCATTTATTAACCCGTTTGCAGGCATCATGTAACAGATGCCAGGTAGGAGAGGATTTGAGGCGTTTCCTGTTCACTGCATTTTCTTTCTTTTTCCTCTTTTTCTTCAGCCAACAGCAGTGACAGCGAGGACCAGTCTGTTGTTGAGGGCACTGCCAAATCAACTGCCTCTAAAAACAACCCATCGGAGCTGAAGGCTGCCACTTCGCCCAAATGTCACGGGCGATCTCCCCCTTCGAGCCATAAATACCACAAGCAGGGTGATGCAGACCATGCACAGCACCGGGATAACCACGGAAGATCGCCGCGGGTGTACAAGTGGAGTTTCCAGATGTGTGCGTATCCAACCCATTTGGTTTATGCTTGTCAGCTCTTTAGTGCTTCTTGTGAACCTATCCTTTCATTTTGGGTCCTCTCAGCTGATCTGGAGAAGATGACCAGCCTGGAGAGGATCTCGTTTCTTCAGGAGAAACTTCAGGACATCAGGAATCACTACCTCTCCCTCAAGTCTGAGGTCGCCTCTATCGACAGACGACGAAAACGCATGAAGAAGAAGGAACGAGAAAGTGAGTCAGCTCTTTATTGCCTGGAATAATAACTAGCATGTTATTTACTAAATTTGGTTCACCATTAAAGCAAGAGGAGTAAAACAGGAAGTCACTGTCGCATCTTCTTCTTTTTTTAATCAGCTTAACCAATCACTGCTTCTGCTCTGCAGGCACAGTGGCCGCTTCCTCCTCATCATCCTCCTCCTCCTCACCGTCCTCCAGCTCGCTCACAGCGGCAGTCATGCTGACGCTGGCAGACCCTCCGGTATCATCCTCATCGTCCTCATCTCAGAACTCCGGGGTTTCAGTGGAGTGCAGGTGACAGGACGACCCAGCAAGGAGCCACACCGCACGAAGCACTTAACCAGCACCCTGGGGTCAGCGCCCCGATTCCCTTTCAACAGGATGAAAAAGTCGACCCACATACTGTAACTACGGGGCACAAAAACCAGACCAGAGACAAAAAAAACCACGAAAAAACAAAACAAAAGAGAAGAAACAAGCACTATTTTTTACTGACAACTGTTTTCTCGGCAAGCTAATGGCACTTAAGTGCACTTTTATGACGATTGTGTAGGGGTGGGGCGGGTGAAATTTGTCCAAAAAAACCAAACCCAACATATATACAGATTTGACTTTTGTGCTTTACTTAATTGAACATTTAAAAGAATTGTTTTTGCAAGCAATAATTGTTTCCATTTGATAAAGTTGTATTGCAAAGGGATGATTTCCAGTGAAGACCATCTGTCATCTGTCCTCGTAGCCCAACATGGCGCTCGCCATGTTATTTCTGGAAATCTGGAGGAGAAACGCTGCCACATTGGCATTAAGGGCATAGGAAAGGTAACTTTGCTATGTTTCTCTCTGTTTCATTAAAAAAAACACAAAGAAAAATAAAAAGGACCTTCATGTGGATGGGGTTGCCCTCCCCATGTACAGGCAATCGCTCCTGTACATGGTCTGAATCAAGTAGGTGGTGATGGATAAGGTTTCAGCACCATCATATGTCCGCTGATGGCCTCAGTGGATCATAAGGAATGATACTGTAGTGCCTTTTTTTTTTCTTCTTGTTGTTGTTGTTCTCCGCGGGGGCACTTTGAGAAAAGGACAGTACTTTCTTTTCCTGATCCTCCTCTCAGATCAGAGCGTTAGCTGGAACAACGTGTCCCATATAAAAGACTGCAGAACGCTGTGAGTGAGCGAGTGAGCGGGCAGTGAAGGGCTAAGTCTTGGCAGGTAACGACGGGATGTTATCAGTGTATTAGGATTATTACGGTAATTGTAAAAGCAGAGCTCCTGTGTTGGATCACCTGCAAATCTACTACTGAATACTCATCCACAGATTACTGTTGAGATAACAGTCTAAAATGTGCAATGATGGAGGTTGGCGAATGCAATGGATGCATTAAATCAGTTCATCAGCCTTTTTAAAAGCCCATCTGCTTTTTTTCATTATGTTTCCATCCTCCATTTTTTTCAATCCCCCCACTTCAGTTGCATCAGCTTCACTGATGTTAATGTTGCATATCTGCAACCGGATCGAGTCAAAAGTCAGAACACACACAATCAAAGCCGAACTCCACGTTTTCAGTGTTTCCACCTACATGAATTTATTTAATTAAGTACATTTTCACTTCATCGAAATGATGCACACTTTATTGGCATGACATGCCTGCTTCTCACACTCATCCCTACCAAAAGAAAAGAAAAAAAAAGTTTGACTCTGTTTCTTGTACTATGACCAGAATAAAGGTAGAGATATTGTAAATGTGCATTTATATGATAAGGTGACGTACATGTATACATTTCTGAAGACATCTCCAGTGTTTCCTTTGTATAGACCCCCCTACTGTATGATAACCGGAAGTTACATTTTGTTCGGCACTTGTATGTAACTGTATGCTTTTGTTATAAATTTGTATATTGAGAAGTGTTTTGAGTCGAGCTATTTAATATCTTGCACTGTTAATAACATGTACTTTTCTGTACAGACAGTTTTATGGTTTTAACTGTAGTTTGAGTGTAAATAACTGAGGGTTGCAGCATGTTCCGTTTTTGTTTTTTTGTCCTCTTTCTTGTTCTGTTTATTTGAGCTCATTTAATGTTGTTCTGTTCTCCCTTTCTCATCAGTTTTGAGTCTTTATCTAATTTCATGTTTGCTTTAGTTTTTATCCAGTTTTTCTTTGTGTCTTTTGTTTTTCTATAGCTTGTGCTTGTGAGAGAAGAATGGTGGTTTTCGGATGTGGCTGAACTATTTTCCAACCTGTACATGGCCTAAAGCTAAAGCTGTATGAACTTGTATACAGGAAAAAGTCTGTGTCATAGATCAACAGAAAGTAACGGAGCTTATTGAAAAATGCTCAATAGTATTTATTAGGCTCATCTGAGGATGGTCATTGTGTAATTTATTGTAAAAATGTAAGCAAAGCAGAAGCCTCTGTTTGAAATAAATGCCATAGTTTGTGAAGTACTCGGTGTGTCTCTTGCATCAGTGGTGGAAAGTAACTTTAGTCAAGTCTTTGAAGCACTTTACTCAGACACGTCTCTGTTATTATATAATTCAGTGATGACCAGCAACTGTAATCACTTCTATCAAAGCAGAGGTTTTGGCAGTTTGCCAGTCTGCAGCATTCAGCGGTGTGTTAGCATAACGGCAACGAGGAAAGACACCAGCAATCATCTTGGGGAACCTGCCCGTCAATTTAGAAAGGCTTTTAAGGCAGCGTCCAAACAATATGAAGCCAATCGCTCTACAGTGAGAAAGATAAAAACTACTAGAGTGGGCATCCCAGGAAATTCACCCCAGGTTTATGACAGCACAATTAGAAAAAGACTGGACAAGTATCATGTGTTTTGTCTCCAGAGAAAGTCTTTCCTCCCCAAAAAGAACATGGCAGCAGTGTTGGTTTAAAAATGTGCATCTGAACAAACCACAAGACTTCTGGAACAATACCCTCAGAGCAGACAAGACCAAAGTAGATACATCAGACCATAATACCCAGCACCATGTTTGTTATAAACCAAACTACACATCAGCACAAACCCCCTCATACTAATTGTCAAGCATGGTGGCTGGTGGAGGGGTGATGATTAGGGCTTGTTTTGCAGCTACAGGACGTGGGCATGTTGCAGTTAGTCGACCACAAAGACCTCTGTATACCAAAGTATTCTAGAGCCAAATGTGCGGCCATCTGTCCGACAGCTAAAGCTTGGCCAAAATTTGTTCATGCAACAGGACAATGATCCCAAACACAGAAGCAAATCTACAACAGAATAGCTTAAAAAAACAAAATGATGAAGGTGCTGCAGTGGAATGCTGCGGTGAGATGATAAGAGATTGGTGCAAATCAATGCCGGCAAACCTCAACCATCTGAAGCAACTTTATAAAAAAGAGTAAGTGGAAATTCCTCCACAAAGATGTGAGAAACTGATAAGGTCACACCGAGGTGGTTCTGTTATAGGGGTGTGCTTCGTTTTTCCTCTTGGTCTAATTTTTGTTAAATAAATAAGAAATAAAAACTTTTTTTTTATTATCTAAGACGTAAAACCTTAGAACTGAAAGACTGCATTTTTAACCATAAATTTAAATACTTGTTTTTGTTAGTTTGTACATAATTATTTTTTTAAATGCAGCATTTTAACTTTTTATCAATTTATATTATTATTATTATATTATGTATTTATAATATTTATATCTTAAATATTATTCTTCATCATTTTGATTTTAATTTAAAGCATGGCTGGGTAAAAGTGCTAAGGGGCGAAATGTGGCCAAACAAATTATTCGACAGATTAGTATTGGTAATTTAACTACATTATACATTAATTTTGTTAAAGTACAGATTATTAACCAGATTAATGATGGTTAAAAGCAACTAATCTTTGTGCGTTATTTATATTTGCCTTTGCTAATTAGCACAGGCAGTATATAAAATACTATACAGTCTATGGTTATTAGTGGATGTTTTATTTCCTTAGTTTGAGCTTGTTTGTTGCTAACTCAGATGTTTTGGGGTAATTTGGGTCACATTTCCCGCCTTCGTCTACGTCATCACTTACGTACTTCCTGGCACACTTCCTCAGCAGCGTGCTAGCTGCTAGTCAGCGGCGAGCGTGGCTGTTCATAAGTAGTTTGAGAAATGTTGAGCGGCAGGACGAGCGCGCTGGTCGCCGGGGTGTGTGGTGCTCTTTTCATCGCATACTGTGTTTACTTTGACAGGAAGCGGCGGAGTGACCCCCGTTTCAAGGAAAAGTTACGTGAGCGTAAGTGTGCAGGTCAACGGCGTAAACTTAGCATCGTAGCACGTTAGCCTCCATGTGACCGCGAGGACGTTAAAAAAAACACTCAAAGCTTCTGGAAACTAATCAAGACTGCGTATTTTCTGTAGCCTTGTAAGCTCCGACTATGGTAACATTTGCTCTAATATTATGTCCCTCAGCTGCAGAAGAAGAAAAAGCATGCTACAAGCAACAGCTAGCAAACTTATTCCCTCGTGTTTTCCGTGTTGTACAACAGCAAACTAAACATGCAGCATGGTCTTAAAAACCCACTTCTCTCTCACAGGTCGACGAAAGCAAAAGGTTTCCAGTGAGAAGACTGAGCTTACAAAGGTAGGACATGTAGAAAATAATCGATTCTTGTCTCATTTTGTTTAGTTGGAGCTTACATTTGTTTTTTGTTTATTAACTTGACTTTGAAGCTGCCGAACTTGAAGGACGAAGAAGCTGTCCAGAAATTCTTCTTGGAGGAAATCCAGCTGGCAGAGGAGCTCCTAGCACAAGGTCAGCCGCATGTTCATTCACAGAAAACACATGGAAGCTTGCGGCATGCGCAAGACGGCACCACTCATATCACTGTAACTGTGGCTACACTGGTGTAGTGACTCTCTACAAAGTTTTAAGCCCTGATAAATTTTTAATGCTTGTTTTTTATGTGGTCTGTAAACCCGTTTCTTCCCTAACCCAGGTGAATTTGACAAAGGTGTAGACCACCTGACCAATGCCATTGCAGTATGTGGTCAACCTCAGCAGCTACTTCAGGTGCTTCAGCAGACGCTGCCTGCTCCAGTCTTCCAAATGTTGCTCACCAGACTACCCAGCATCAGCCAGGTGAGAGTTACCTGCATCTCCTTGTTTTGTTTTTTTTGTTTAGCATCCTTGAAAACCCCCCAGTAGCCATTTGTGATTTCTGGGACAAGAAAGGGTGCAAGAATAAACCTTAGAATCATCCAAAGCTGAGAGCTGTGTGTCAGTAGCTCTCGGTTATTTCACCTCTAAGACAAAAATACTTAACGGCCCGTGTAACTGATTTGCCTTTCTGTAATGGGTAATCTCTGAAAGATATTTTCTTCCTCTCTTTCAGCGACTCATCGGCACTCAGTCTTTAGCAGAAGATGACGTCGAATGAACGTATGTGTGTGAATGAGATGGAAATCTATGAGGGAAGGGGGGTTTTAGACACTATCACTGCTGCACGGTTCAGTTGCTTGCGAATTCTGAGCTTCACTGGCCATCGGTTGAGATGAATTTCCCTCCATCACAGCACTTTGAGGTTGATTGAACGTCTGCCAGGTTACATTTATCGAAATGCATTCCTCCTTTCCAACATATCGGTTATTATGTAGCCATTTGTTTGTATTTAAAGTGCAACCTAAGTATGTAAACAGGAATGTAGACTGTTTGTTCTGTTTGTGACTTGGACTGAAGTGAGTCTGTCTACAGAACACTTGCTTGTGGTGTAATGTTTATATAAATGATTTTGCAGGTTAATTAAAATGTACTTTTTAAAAAACAAAACAAAAGCATTCCAGTCTTTCACCTGGGTTTTTGTTTTTGTGTCTGTGTAATACTACAATAAAACATGATAACATGTGTTGACTTTTTGATTGTCCACTTGCCAGTAGATGGCAGTAGCAATGCACAGGAAAACCTGAAGCATTTAGTTCTGAAATATGGAGCAAGGGCACTTTCACTTTCCCCTCAAATAAAGGGTGTGCAGGAATTGGGGACAAGTATGTTTGTATCAATAAATATTAATGAACATGGAGGGGAGTGAGCCAACCTATTGTACTTATCCCATCCATGTAGGTGCAAAACAAAAGATCTGTGAATTGCTGATATTAGTAATAAAACATGCTGGGGTTAAATTGCTATCGTGAGAGTATTTGTTTCCTGCCAGAATGCTGAAACCTCATCTTGTACGAGTCCAATGAACCACAATGTCTTTATTGTGTGTGCAGGAATATAAAACTGGAGCAGCTTGTAGGGGAAGGGAGTGGGTCTGCTTGGATGTGTGTCTCTTGGAAGACAAATAGAGCTGTAATTATTTTTATCCCTCTCTGCAGCTGTTTTTTTCTTTCTTTTTAAGGGCTCTGGCCAGAGCAGCCCAGGCCTCAAGTTTTGCCAGGAAACAAGAGTAGGGGGGAAAATAGTTTTTCAACATTAGGAATGAAAAAATGAACAGCGGCCCAGAAATGTCGAGTGCAGACTAAATGGTAGACAGTGTTCCATTTTCCATGAACTCATGTGATCACTCTTCAGTCTTTTCTCCACCACTCCTGGTGTTTAGCCACTTGGTGGAAATGGAGAAGCCTGTCAGGGGCCTGCAGAGTCCACTGGCGCTAGGTGTGTGCGTGCAGAAGAAGTGACTCGTTGTTAATCTATCCTTCGGGGAGGCGGAGAAGAAAAATAACAGACTGTGTTGGAGGTCAAGCTGAAATCTGTGGTCTGCTGCTGGCAGATCGAGGCTAGAAGCAGGTTCAGACTTCTCCACGGAGCGTAACACTGGCCTGCCTCTCCTGTAAATAAACACTGCTGCTGGCCTTGTGCTCTGTCCCCTGCAGACTGGAAGGAGCTCAGGGGTCACTGAAGGATGCCAGATAGGCCCCTCCTTCTCTGAAAGCATGCCAGCACAAAATAAACCCATTGAAACAGGCCCTGACACGAGGACAGACGCTGTTTGATTTAAGGATGACACAGCAAATCCAGTTTCGGGGCAGAAACCACACCCGAGTGAAGAGTGGGATAATAATCTAATGAATGGAGTGCTCACTGTAATACTTTTAATATAACATCATTCTTTTAATTGCCTTGCTGCTCTATTTTCAGTCTGTATGAATGGGTTATGAGTCAGCTCTTTGTATCTGATGAAGCTGGCAGCGGGAAGAAGAAAAATGAAGAAACTCCCTGTTGTTTTGCAGTAGGGGGCACTGTTGCTCCAGGCTGTATTTGGACACCTCTGTGGCCTTACACTGAGCCGCAGACAGATTCACAGTTTGAGGACGACTGAATGGACAGAAGCTGAGAGCACAACAGTTCCAGTTGACAGCAATAACAATGTCTGTGCCTGCAGCACAGATACCCTGTGATTTTTAAAAATCCTTTTGTTGTTGTTGTTTTGCTTTACTAATGTGTGCACGGTGACACATAAACATCGCTCCACCACAGGTAGAGAAAATAACCCCACGATCATGGCACAGGGAATGCTCAAAGCAGCCTGACTGCCATTGTAATTTGCTGGAAATGTTGAACTGGGAATATTATAATCAGTACAATAATCTGAACTCTGCAACTCATTAGTGGAAATCCTGTCAACAAATTATCCGCATCGCTAATGACCTTTGCTGTGTGTTATTGGAGTGTGTGAGTTTGAATGTCAAAGCCTGATTACTGCTTCTGTGTACCAAGTGCTATCTGACCGGTGGAGATGTCTGGTTATGTAGGAGCAGCTGTGTTTGGGATTTTAAGGCAGCCAGAAATAACTTGGTTGTGTGTGGTTGCTATGGCAGCTTCACGTAGACTCTCGGTTGAACCGGTCTGCATTTGAGACCCTCTGAGTGTTGGCTTCTGAGCAGCGAGGGGGGTATTTGCTGCCTGTAGCTTGCTGATCGGTGTCTGTTTGGTCAGCAGAGGCCCGGAGTCCTGCCGCGTGATGATGCTCGCAGTCCCGCTGTCTGTGTCCTGCTGCTGCTGAAGCCATGGCTGTGGTGCTGGGGGGGGGATAAGAAATGTCCCAGCTATTACAAAGCCCAGTGCCCTTACTTTGTGCACGCAGCACCAACACGGTATATTAAATACCCGCCGCCTTTTTTTCTTCTCTTTGTCAGTCACCAGCGAGGGGAAAAGAAGACGGAGAAAATTTTTTCCAAGGCACGTCCTAAAAATAAAGCAGCACTGTCTGTGCTCAGAGTATTAACTTCCACACAGATGACCCATTTTTCCATCTCAAAGGGTCTGAGGATGGTTGGAAAGGAAAAAAAGGAGGGTGGGATGGGGAGGCAAGAGTGGAGCCAATCACGTGAATCTAAAGGAGGCTACAAATCCTGGCAGATTTCTCTTTCTCTGTGGGGTAATGCCTTGCTGTCATCTGTTTTTCCATTACTCTGCTGCTAGTAACTGAACTTGTGCTGCTGCTGTTGCTGCTAGCTGCTGCCAGGCAGGTTTTGTCCTCCATGTGTAGGCCTGCCTATTGAGCTCTGTTGTTTACATTCCCCGTGAGTGGGAGCCAAAGGGTGTGGGTGCCCCCCTTTTCTCTCCCCCACTACCAACCACTCAACCATACTGACTGCCTCTCTCCCTCTCTCTCTCTTTGCTAATGTCAGCCCCCACCCTGCCTCCAGCCTCCAACCTATCTCCCGATCACTAAATCTCTGATAAGGCTGAAATTCAATAGCGCGGCTGTTGCCTGAGAGAAGTGAGTGCGTCACATGACCTGTGAATTCCTGTTTACACTGAGCGGTTTTCATATTTCTGGTCTGATAACACGAGGGCTGAAATTTTGTGATGAAGTGGAACAAAAGGGGAGAATATCAAAAGAACGTGTCACTCAGCATCAGTTCTCACCCTGTCATTGGCGTTATCTGCACAATCTAGGCATGCAGTTAAGCTGCATGGGGGGGAAAGACGCACATACACACACACAAGCTGAACTGGAGGGTGAAGAAAGGGTTAACTAAGCAGACTGTGTGCACAGTTTTTTCTCTCCTCCCCCTCCTCCTTGTGATCTGCCTTCCTGTCTCACAAGCAGTGCAATGCAGAGGCTTTGAACATCATGAGAGTCAGACAGGCTTGTTTTGCATACTGTAAGTCTCCTGCATTGACTTGTAGCAAATCCTTGCCCTTGGGAGGCACGTCAGAGGGGATTAATGGGAGGGCCGGGGCCTCACAGAGTTTCCCATTGTCGTGGCTGTGCCCGCACTGTATTTTCATCCCGCAGAGTGAGAAAAGAGTGAGCAGGTGGGGAGGTGGTGGTGGTGGGGTGTGTGCAGCTTGTGTGTGTGAGAAGGAGGGGGGAGGGGGGTTATACAGTGGTGTTATTTCCCTCTGCCCTGATTTTTGGAGCTGAGCTGTAGGGAGGGGAGGACAGTGTAAATAATGTATTTGGAGCGGCGGGGTAGAGGGAGATGGAGCTTGACCGAGCTCAGAGCGGGTGGAGGGGGAGGGAAGGAAGGGTTGAGCGGCCATTCTGCTGCACAGGAAGCAAGGGGGTTGGAAGAAGGGGAGGTGGAAGTGGAGGGGGGAGCAGAGGAGGAACTGTACGAGCTACAACAACAATGTTGCTGTGGTGGTGCTCTGGGGAATATGGGGCCGCCGCAAGAATGTGGCAATCCTCTACTTCCGCTCTGCTTTCTCACTTTTAGCAAGACAAACAGTTTGCTGCTGCAGACTGCCGCTAATGATGCAAAGTTAAGAATAATGTAGGCGTAATCTTACAGCTGGTAGGACTTTCTCATTAAGAGCAACGATTGCAAAATGACACCGGCCAACCTTCTACAAAGCACGCATGCTAAAATTAAAATTTAAAAAAAGATTTGAAAGGTGAGGCAAGGGACACATTTTGCATTTCATGCTTACAAGCTCACCACAAAGACAGAAAACACAGAATCATGCAGCCTAACTGTACAAAGCATGCACAAGTATCTCTAAACTGTTAAAACAGACAAGTTTGCAGGTTTTCTTTTACACTTCCAAGAAACTGCATTAAATGGCACAAGCCACGTCTGACACATTCTTGCAGAGCACTGAGCTGTGGTGTCATTTTTCAAAAATAGATACACAAACACGTCAAGAGCCAAAAATAAGCTAAACCTGCAAAGTGACTTAAAGGCAGTTACTGTTTTTTCCCCCCTAACCTTTTATCATTCATGTTTACGTCCAAATAACACCAACTTCACAGGCATTAGCTTTAAACTACTCATGCAGGCACTGAGTGATTGTTTACATACATACATTTTTATTTTTTAAAGCCTGCATGCTAGCTAGCCTCATCATGCCTTATTTAAAGAGGT